TGGGCTTCTTCCTTCAACTTCCTATGTCTGATGTCATGGGCTTCTTTCTTCAACTTCCTACGTGTGGGGTCATGGGCGCTTTCCTTCAATGCTATGAGGCCTCTATTTTCACTTTGGTTTTACAGGGGAGGACACAAGTACTAGGGGATGTTAAATGGTTTCCCAAGGCCACCCGGACATAGAGTGGGGGATTTAGTATCTTAGATGAGGAGAGTGATAGTCATGTAATACCTTCTGCTTGAAACTAATTAGATGGGGGGGCGCTTACAGTTTCAGGGTGAGGGGTTCCATGTGTCTGTGAGAGGAGGATCCATTCCGTGCATGGTGGGCTTAACTATACTTACAGTTCTCAGCTTCCCAAAATGTCCCCACCCTTTCCTTTCAGTCTTGGTAATGCAGGGGATGGATGTACCCCACCTCCCCGGCAGGAATGGAGACTGAGCCCCATGAGGGCAGAGATCATCTTTCTCCCCTGTGCGTCCTGTACCCAGAATGATGCTTGGAGTGTACCATGCTCAGGATGTTTTTCTTTCTTATGTAGAAATGGACGTAATGCTTATAAAGTGTATTCTGGTTAAACAGGGCCATATGTATGTAAGCATGAGGGTTTATAATGTATGTAAGCATGATGATCAGATTCTTCTAGTCTGGCTTCAGAGGATGCAAAGTAGGGGGTCTTAAGTAATCCACCCCTCCCTACCCTGTCACTGCTCCTGTGTAGCCCCATGGAGCCACTGGGCTGCCCCTCAGCCATGCCCTCTGTGGCTTGGCAGTCAGCAGGGAGATTCTGTTTACTGACTGACGAGGAACAGAGGCATGGATGGATGGGAAGGAGAGGTCTGGGAGTCCCCAGACCAGCTGTGGGCAAACTACGGCCCGCGGGCCGGATCTGGCCCATTTGAAATGAATAAAACAAAACAAAACAAAAAAAGACCATACCCTTTTATGTAATGATGTTTACTTTGAATTTATATTAGTTCACACAAACACTCCATCCATGCTTTTGTTCCGGCCCTCCGGTCCAGTTTAAGAACCCATTGTGGCCCTTGAGTCAAAAAATTTGCCCACCCCTGCCCCAGACTCTGTCTCTGCCCCTTGGGGAGCTTGTGAGTCAGGAGTGGGAGACAGAGAACTGAGTTCTTGTGTAGTAGTAAATGTAAAAGGAGGAGAGAAAATCAATATAAGTTGAGTTCCTACCTTGTGCCAGGTTCTGCGCTAGAATGGCTATTTAACTTAGTCCTGTGATGGGATGAGGACACTGCTGTGAGAGTGGTGAAGTGACACGCCCACGGGCACACAGCTGATAGGTGTGAGCAGGGATTCCAGCTCAGGCCACCTCGGTCCCAAGTAGGCACTTCCTGTGTTAGTTGCCACCCTACCTCTAGGTAGTAGCCTGGCTCTCGGGGCAGTTATCATGTCTCACAGCCCAAATGATGGAAAAATGAAGAAAAGAGGGAGAGAGAGTGTTGTGTTTGCTCTGTGCACCTTGCAGGCCAGACTCTGAGTTCAGGCGATAGCCCAGGGTACCCTCTGTGGATGGGCCTTCAGACCCAGAGTCCTAACAGGGGAAGTGATCTCGGAGAGCCCTACTTTCTCTGTGAGGCCCTCGCCAGGGGAGACGGAAAGCAGGCGACACTCAGTCAGGAAGACAGAAAACCCTGCTCCCAGTCGGGCACAGATATGAAAACCGGTTTGTGAAGAATGGGTGTAATTAACTCTGGTTAGTTTCTTCCTAGAATTTTTTATTTATAATTTTTACTCAAGAATTTTCCTGGTAATAAAAGTAATGTATGTTCTTTATTAAATTTCTTGGAAAGTATAGAAATTGGTATAAGTAAGAAATAAATTATTTGGAAATAAATACAAAGAAATTTTAAAAATCCCTCCCAAATCATTTTACTCAGAGATAAATATTATTAATAAGATGGTGTGTTTCTTTATATGTCTCTATATATTATAAAACTAGGGTCTTACTATATGTGGTTTTATAGTCAGCTTTAAAAATATTTTTTAGAGACTTGATTTTTTAGAACAGCTTTAAGTTCACAACAATATTGAATAGAAGGTACAGAGATTTCCTGTTTACCCTCGCCTCCACGCATGCACTGCCTCACCATTACCAACACCCTCCACAAGAGTGGTACATCTGTTACAATTAATGAACCTACACTGGCACATCATTATTACCCAAAGTCCAAAGCTTACAGTAGGGTTCATCCTTGGTGTTGTACCTTCTATGAGTTTAGATACATGTATAATGACACGTACACACCATTACAGTATCATAGAGCATTTTCATTGCCTTAACAATCCTCTGTGCTCCACCTATTCATCTCCTCCTAACACGTTGCAAGCACTGATCATTTTACTGCCTCCATAGTTTTCCTTTTCCAAAATGTCATATAATTGGAATCATATAATGTGTAGCCTTTCCAGAATGGCTTCTTTCATGTAGTAATATGCACTTCAGGTTCCTCCATGTCTTTTCATGGCTTGATAGCTCATTTCTTTTTAGCACTGAATAATATTCCATTGACTGATGGACCACAGCTTGTTTATCTACTCACCTAATGAAGGACATCTTAGTCTGCTTTTTAAGTGAACATTCTATCACCATCATTTTTCCATGTCATTAAAGATACTTCAAAGTATGATTTTTCAATGGTTGTCTAATGTAATTTTAGCTGTGCAACAGTTTAATCATCATTCCTCTCATTAGACGTTTACAAATGTTTCTTTGGGGCCAGTCTCATGATGGCCTTTCCATATGTTTATGGAATTTGGAAACTTGGCCCTCAGAGACGGGCTTGTTCAGTGTGGCCCATGGCGTGGGCTGCAAGATGCTGATAAGTGGGATACTGACTCAGCCTAAGCACGCAAACTCTCATCAGAAGAACGTTGTTCCCTTTTGAGTTCTTTTCGGTCCTTTGCTGAAGGAGAAAGCCTCCATCTGAGGCACCCAGGAGTGAGGGGTGCCACAGGATTCCCAGTGCTGAAATGGGAGTCCAGGCCAGGCGGGGACAAGGGTTCCCCTGGCCTGAGCCTGGAGTGCTTTCTCCATCGTTTGGATACTTGTGTGTTGCCCTTCTTGACAAAATGAGAGCAAGCCTTAGGCCCAGAGCCTTTGTCAGGCAATTGCTAGAATTTAGTAACTGTTTTCATTTAATTCACTTTTACAATTCCTCTCTATTAGTGGTATAAACGGTACTGATTTTTCCACTTACAGTAGAGACATAAAATTTCCTTTTAAAATAAATGTAATGACAAGAGTAGCTAACACGTAGAGTGCTTATGTGTGGTAGGTACTGTTTTATAAAATACTACAGGCCCGGTGCATGAATTCATTCATAGGTGGGGTTCCTTGGCCTTGCCAGTGATTGAGGCCAATCAGGGCAACCTAGCCCAGTCCTGATTGGGCCGATAGGGCTGGCTAGCCAGGGGGGAGGGACTGTGGGAGGTTGGCTGGCTGCAGGAGGTTGGCTGTGGGAGCACACTGACCACCAGGGAGCAGCTCCTGTGTTGAATGTCTGCCCCCTGATGGTCAGTGCATTGTCATAACAACTGGTAGACAGGTCAAGAGGTTGAGCGGTCGTAATGGTCGCTTAGGCTTTTATATATATTAGATGTTTTTATTGGTTTTAGAGAGAGGAGAAGGGAGAGGGAGAGAGACATAGAAACATAAGTGATGAGAGAGAATCATTGATCAGCTGCCTTCTGCATCCCCCAACCCCCACTGGGATCGAGCCCACAACCTAGGCATGTGCTCGGACCAGGTATCAAACCCTGGTTCATGAGCCCAGTCGGGCTGCTAAGTACTGTTTTAATGCTTTCCCTGCAATATTTCATTTAATCCTTATAGCAACCCCTTAAAGTAGTTACCAGTATTATCCCTGTTATACAGATGGAGAAACGGAAGCATAGACAGATTAAGTAACTCGCTCAACAACACAGAGCTGGGATTTCAACCCTGGCTTTCTGGCTCATTGCTAGTCAAATTAAAGAATATTAAATCAATGAATGCATAAGTGGCACACAGACGTGGCAGAAACTGTGAGGATGGTGTGCAGATGACTCAAGTTTAGGAAATGCTGGCTTAGAGGAAACCAGGTTCTATGTGCAGGGGTACCAGTGAGTGCAGGTGTGGGGAAGCTGAGCCGTCCCAGCTAACCAGGGAAAGTTAGGAACCTGTGGGCTGTTAGGAGGCTCAGAGGACGAGAAGATACATTGTTCATGGTGGGGCTGTAGATATGGGATGGGGTGCAGAGGGCACGGTGGCCACCCTGGAAAGGACACACAGAGGCCATAGGGAGTTCTGCTACTGACAAGGTAACAGAGAGGATGTTTCCAGAGAGTCCAAGGTTCCTAGTTCATCAGAAAGAGAAGAAAACCAGAAACACCCTTGACTTTGCTCATGCAGATGTAGTCAAAAGAGCATTGGCCCCATGTTGGGGGTGAGTTCAGCATGGACCACTCTCCCCACATTGTCACCATGGGAGAGGATGCCATGTGCTAGAGGCAGCACAGTGCCACTGCTGACCCGCTGTACACCTCGAGCTACACCTAATCTCAAGCCTCAGCTTCCCCTCCTATAAAACGGAGATAAAGTAGTGCCCACTTTGCAGGGTTTAATTCCTTAGCCCAGCGACTGTTCTCGGCACCCAGAAAATGTTAGCTGAGACTGTTCCTAGCCTCCGTCTATCCCCCTTCACAGATTCCATCCAGGAGACTTCTGCACTGGGTTTGAGGTTCTCACTGCCCATAATCCTGGGTCCCATTCTCACCTCCATTTAATGCTCCAAGGAAAATGGCAGATGATTGGCCATTGGTGCCTGGTGGGGTATTAAGGAGGCCCAGTGAACATCACCTCCCTCCTTTGATTAAGTTCTAAGGCTTGTTGAGAAGTCAGTCGAATATCACCTGTGGCAGAAAGCTGGTAATGGAGAATGTGGTTTACACCTGCAGGCAAGTAGGCTTTCTAATAATGAATGAAGCGAACTTACCCCCGGCCCTCTCCAGTGCCCTCTGCTGGAGGCAGGTTCCTTTCAATCTTGGAGCAGGTGGAGCACAGCAGAACGAATGTGTGTTCCTAGCAGGCAGTTCATTCCTAAGAAAGGGAAGAGGAAAGACAGTGAAAGTCTTCCAGTATCCATTTCTGCTGCCACTTTGTAAGCTGAAATGAAGACAGGGTATAAGCAGTGATCTGAGGATCTAGGCTTGGCTCTGTCTCTTAGATGTTATGCCCTTGAGCAAAATCACTTCTTCCTTCCCAGGCCTTGGTTTCCTCATCTGGGAACTGCTTACCCCCTAAAGCAGTGGTTCTCAATCTTCTGGCCCTTTAAATACAGTTCCTCATGTTATGACTCAACCACAAAATTATTTTCGTTGTTACTTCATAACTGTAATGTTGCTACTGTTATGAATCATAATGTAAATATCTAATATGCAGGATGGTCTTAGGTGACCCCTGTGAAAGGGTCGTTCGACCGCCAAAGGGGTCGTGACCCACAGGTTGAGAACCGCAAGTCAGGCGATTCACCCCTGTAGTCTCATGTTTGAAGCCACCCCAGAGCAATAATGGTGTCAGACACTGCGGTCTGTGACAGGGAGGGCTGCAGGTGTGTTAGAAGACTTAGCTATTATTGCTCATTCTCTAACAGCCCTGTGAAGTGCCTTTTGGGGCAGTCAGAACCGGTACCAGGTCCAAAGTAAATGGGAGGCTGTGTTTTTAAGAAAACACTCACTGCTGAAGGGCATGCCTATTCATTCTCCTGTTAACAAGGCATTTGCCTCTCAGCTTTGGACATTTGCTGCTCAGATCAGAGACTGTAGTCTTGTAACAAAATCAGCCTCTGGAGCCTGGTCCCACTTCCCTCACACCATAGGGCCAGCTGCACCGGGCTCTCCAGCTCTGGGAGCAGTGGGGGGCAGGGACACAATTGGATCCCAGTCCTTTGGAAGAGATGAACCTCACATGCACCAGAATCTGGGGGGCCTTCAGAAGACATTGAGTACCCCTAAGAGCTCCCTAAGTGGAGAAGCTCTGGGGAAGTGAGGAGACCCCGGGACATGGTCTGGCAGCTAACTACCATGTGCATGGCACGTCCTCAGATGGCATCTCTTGTGTTTTCTGTGTGACCTTCGTGATTTCACAGTTCTGTGCCCTGTAGGTAGCATAGCCTCTCCCATCCCACCCCCAGGCCCATGTTAGGATTTTTAGGGGCCCTAGACACGTTTGTCCTTAAGAAACTTACTTTATCACTCTGATGGTGTAGATAAATATATCAATGTTATCTATGGAAACATTTTCTTTGACTAAATAGTTCATGTTGTCTTCTGATTTGAAAAGAAATGAGAACATTTTTGTGGGCACCGGGCACTGTTCCTCCCAGACTTTCTGGAGGTCAGTCCTGCCCCATCACCTTACATCCGGAGCACGGTCTCGGGACCCACAGAATCACACCACCTGGGAGTTTGTTAGAAACACAGACTCAGGCCTCCGGAGTCAGCATCTGAGGCTCAGCACGACCCCCAGGTAATTCATGTTCATGCTATAGTCAGAGGCAATCTGTCTATCACAGTTGCCATGTACCGTATTTGCCGGCGTATAAGACGACCCCCTAACATTTCCACTCAAAATACAGAGTTTGTTACATACTCGCCGTATAAGACTACCCCCTCTTCCGCACACCTTCCACACACCAAATAAAAGGTAAAACAATATCAGATTTGATTTTAACATTTTAATTTATATTCAAATGCTTATGACATGCAGGAAAACTGTCACAAGGCTGTATGTAATCAAACATATACATAAAACAGTGCAAGTTTATTACCGGTAAACATACCGGTAATTCACTAAAGAAAACACACTCTATAGACTGGTACCGTAGATGCTTCTCAGGAACACAGGCAAGCAGCCCACAACCTAGAGGGACTGTCAATGATAGAAGTAAGATAACAAATAGAGGTAGAGAGCAAGTGCCGGGCAAGTCCCTAGCAA